GATGTAACCTTCAAACCATATATGTTGCTGTTCTGATCAATTCAAGACATTAATGCTAGACTCTCTGGAAACTCAAACCTATAGTCTGATATTTACAGTAGGGTAAAGCAATAAATTCACATATGCAAAATGCAACTCATATTCCAGCCAGCCCTCACAGACATTGTGGCTACGGAATACAAATAAAAATTAAAGTAGAATGTTTCTTATTTACATATAATATAAATGAGCATATGAATATATGAATATAATATATATATATATGTATATGAATAAATATAAAAGCTTGTAGTGAAAAAGTAGTGAAAATTCCATTGATATTAAAGTATTTTATCTCTTATTTTCAAGCTGCTTTTTGGAACAAAGTCCTGGATGTGGATATTGACTAAAAAAAATTCAGAAATATTCAGACTTGACTTTAAACCCTTCAGCATGATCATGATTGTTGCTTATAAGTGCGTAGCTATTTATTTGACCCTTGCAAGACATTCACTGATCTGTGTCTGGAAATAAAACAAAGTAAGATGTTGCTCTTCTAATTTGCTGACATGAGATGAGCAACCAAACACCACCTAACCAACATGTGAGTGCAGTAATCCAAGCTCCACCACTGCTGCAGACTCTTATTCTAAAAGCTATACCTCCTCCTGCCAAAAGACCCCTTTCTGTAAGTCCCCAGTTTCACAAGAATAAGGGCATGATGCAAATATGTTCAAGTCCAACTTGAATCTGATTCAGTTGGAATACGAGAAGAGAATAAACTGCCACCCACACAGTTTGAAAGCAGGAAATAAAATCCAATTGTTTCATTTATGTATATTTATTTCAAGTATCTGCATTGTCTGTCACCAGAAAATGGGTGTCTGTGCTACTCTGGGGAAAACAGTGCAGTTTATTTTGAATAGAAATATTCTTTTGAGTTTTTCATTAATTAATATCTTTTGACCAATATTTCCATCAATTTTGCTGGCACAAATATTCAGAGACATCGGATTTGAAGAAACACATATGTAAGTATTTGTGGAACCCTAAACTGCAAAAATATTCATTGGAACTATTACTCACACTAATCAGGAAAAAGGAATAGTGCCAGGCAGTCAGTCCAACCAGTGATAGTTTGAAAAGCAAATATTGGCTGTCTACAAACAATTTACGTAGCAAACACCATCTGGACAACATAAGCAGCTTAATACTTTCAAATAGCAGATACTGTTCATTAGTTTGACTAATTTAATTATGCTTAAAATAAATTCTGAATATACTTTTCAATTTCTCAGCTTTTGCCATCCTTTAGCTCCAGTCAGAAATAAACACTGAGCTAAAAAGTATGTGGGTTGATATGCTGCAGGTATAGAAACATCAATAGTAAAAGGAAACAGTGGACAGACTGAACAGAGTTGTGATTCATTTTCCTGTTAAACCTGGATCACAAGTGCTGTTGATTTACACATCTCTTCAAGACACTACATGTAGAACACTATCTTCAGGTGGGCAAATATGTGACCATTATTACCATGAGCTGTTTCCACGATGAAGAGATTTTTTTTTAAATCAAGAAAAACCAAAAAAAAGCTTTGCAATTTGGAATATTATGAGATGGCCTATACTATAAAGTTGTAGAGAAGTCTTCAGTACAATCAGCTCCTCATACTACTTATTTTAAAGCAATTCCAATTTTGCAGCAAATTCTCCTCCAATAAATCATTCCTGACTTCCCTTCAATAGAATATGTGGAAGAGTTAAATCCTAAATTAATTTCTTCCACTACTTGGTCAGCATCTGGGGGGACTAATCCTTCCCAAGATTTAAAATATCATGAAACTATCCATTAGACAGCTGTAAAACCACTAAACTCTACCACCTAGACTAGGAGTTCCCCACACTTCACATAAATGCAGCCAGGGAGAATCATAGAATCATAGAATGGTTTGGGCTGGAAAGGACCCCAAGAATCATCAAGTTCCAACCCTCCTGCCACAAGTAGCGTTGCCAGCCACCAGATCAAGTACTAGATCAGATCGCCCAGGGCCCCATCCAAACTGGCCTTGAACACCTCCAGGGACAGAGCATCCACAACCTTTCTGGGTAGTCTATTCCAGCACCTCACTATGGAGACACCTGTTCATATGTGCATATTCAGGAGAAATTCCTGCCATCATCAGTGCTGATTTCAAGAATGTCATGTATTAGCAACAGAACTGGGTAATTCCTGACAGCAGCAGTATAAAATAAATAAATAAAAAAAAATGACTCATGCATATAATTTTGAAAATGCCTCACTTAACTACCTTCCAGTGTGCAAGCATGTTGGCTTTTGAGACTACTACACAAGCTCATAAAGAGTGATATGGTCATTAGTGAAACTCATATTATATTTTAAGACCCCCAATAAGAATAAATAAAAAGTAAAGATTAAAAAAAAAAAAAAAACTAAAATAATGAAATGAGCTTTAATTGAAGCACTGCTGCTTCAAAATTAATCAATATTGCAGAATTAAATTAATTTGATCATTTTTTAGAACCCTAGTTGGATTCTTAGACATAAGAAGAAAAACCATCCAGACTTTTTAATCAGAAGTATCAAGAGACAGGTTAAAATTCAGGATAAGTTGATTTAGATGTCCTTTTTATGCCTATAGGAAGAAATACAAGAGTATTTTTCATTGTGCTTAAATCTCCAAATGTAGTGAATAATTTCACCATAAATACACTTAGCTATATTTCTGCATATCCTTTTTTCATTTCTATTGTTTTCTGTTTCTATAAATATGCAAATTGTTTCTACATACACATTTCAACCTTAGAACTTTCTGCTAACCACTCACTTTTGATCTGTTTCGTAAGATACATCACCTGTGTTCCAAGAAGTTATTCTGCAATGAGCTTTTGGCCGTGAATCAGGAAAGCAGCCTTTTTTAGGACCAACTTAAGGCATTTATTGATATATTAAATCAAATGGTTTTAATTTCATGGTTTTGTTCTTTCACATCTAGATAACAAATAAAAGAGAAGGCAGGGCAGTGGGGGAAAAGTCTCCTCTGAAAATCCTCACTCATCACATATAAAAATAAATACTATTCATAATGAGCACTGCTATCTTTTGTGGTCGATTGAGATTTTCAATTACCAGTTCAAGCTAATAACGAATAAGCTTCCTTTCCTCAAACAAACCTTCCTCAAAACAAGGGACAGCATGGGAAGAAAACAGTATCTGTGATCTGTCAGAATTCTGTGGCTCTTTTCATTTTCAACAATCTTAATGGACAGTACAAGAGAGTATATCAGAACTGTAATGACAGTGAGGTACAAAGCTTTCCACATTTCAATTTAGTCTCCGAATTTTATACTGGCATAAAATCCAAATGCAGGAACTCAAAAAACAGGTGGTATTACTTCTCATACCCCTATTTGACACCAGGGCTAATTAATCTTTTGCGATACTGCAGCTTTCTTTCTCTATAATTAGGTTTTCATTACAGCAGTTGTGTGTTGTTGACTCATAAGGCTGAATGTCTGAATTAGGATTAGAGTCCAATATTAGAGCTGCTGTGCCACAGCTACCTCAGCAGAGAGTGAATGATGCTGAATGCCCATAAGCTTTCATATTATTAAATCTGTGGCATTTATTTATTCATAACAAGACTGTGTTGTTGACCTAGTTTCCTCATTAAATTAAGGGAGGTTGGAGATCCTAAAAAGAAAATCCTAGAGAGCATTCACTTCTGTGCCTACTCAGTTAGATCACTAAGTCCTTTTATTTTCATTTCTTTTCTCCTGGCTGAATAACAGGATGAATTTGTTTTAGATTATTTTCCTATTAGCTAAAATTTCCCAGAGGTTCCTGGTATTTGCATTCAGCTATTTCGGTAGCAGATATAACGTTGTACTGAATACACCATCTACTGAAATGATGAAGTCGTAAGGAAATCAGACACATGTTCCTTACAGATGTTTGACCTAAGGCATACTGGAGTTGCCAAATCCACCTTTGGGTCACACTCTTCTCCATCTGGAGATCCACAAACATTGGGCCAAATGAAAGGAGTGATTTATAAACTAGGTAGCCCTACTCAAGTCAACTAGCAATCTTGAATTTAAGTGCCAAACTCAGTACTGTAAGTGCTAAGAACTTGCAGCCAACAGACTTCACTTGGGACTTTCTGGCACTCTATCCCTGAAAACTGGGACACCATTAGCCTGGTGCTTACATGGTAAATTTAGAGTTTGGCTTTGGAGTACTGACTCCTAAATCTGTATTCACACCTCCAGGTTTAGCCAATCATCTCTTGATCATTTGTCTTCCATATTCTCTTCAGTAGCAGGAACAGCTCACAGAAATACAGCAAAACTGCACACACAGCCAGAATGTCTGATAGGTTGCTTGGCCTTTGGGTTGCAGGCAAATATGCTTTCATAGATAGTTTTTTTCACTTGTTCACTGCTCAGTCCCTTCTGATGCAACAATTTGTTCTCATAGGACTGCCAGCAGTAACAAGAGCTTTGCCTTGATGAGCAACATTATATATGTTATATATATGTATATATGTTCCTTTTCCTTCAGCAAGATCTTCAGCCAAAGGAACCTGCACACTGCATTCTTGAAGAACAAAATAGTATGTGCCATCCACCTGGGACTGAAAAATTTGTCTCATGAAGCTGACAGACAACCGTACAGTAGATGTTTCTCCTTGATGATCATACTCAGAAGTCACAACATTCCCAGTAAATATAAGATCTCGGTTTTTAAAAAAAAAAAAAAAAAAGAAATTCTTAAACTGTAATGTTCCAGAGAACAAAGGAGGAGACTCCAAGAGTCACAAAGACTTTGAGTAAAGAGTACCAACCACTGAGTCTCCCTTGCTGATTGTTTCATATAGATTACAAGTTTTTTTCAGAAAGTTAGTCTTATTTCTGTAATGTGATAATCAGGCCGATACCCATAAAATGGAATAGTTGTGTTCCAGGATGAAGTACTCCATCTGCTTTCTCCTCCCATTTTCTTCAGTTGATGTAGTTTATTTTATTATGCTTGATAAATTACACATTTGATTAGGCACACTGGAAAGTCAAGGAAGCTCTGAGCCTTTCGTTTAAACTCTTCCTTTGTGATGCAGGAGAACGGGAACTTGATGAAAACACTCTGTCACTGGATGTTCTTCCTTTCCCTTTTCAAAAACTCATTTTTCCTTTTTGCAGCACTTTGAAATAGGCTTATTAATCCGCTGAGGGAAATAAACAGCTGGAAGTAAACATTTCCCAACTGCTGGAGAAACACTAACTGTTTCCTAAGCTGCATCCAAGTGGCCACCAAATAAATGCACAAGGGAAAATCAGTTCTTGGACTGGATCTACGTCTGTGGTAATGAAGAAGTCCACAGTAGAGGGCTAGTTGAGTCATTCTTCTTTAGGGATCATCAAATATCCAGACTCTAAATTATTTGTTGGTTGCTAAGACCAGAAGCCAACAGTGTCCTGTACATGGCAGTCTTCAACACACAGTCTAAATCTGGTATATTGACAGTATCCAGCAACGCACTGGATGATCAATAGACAACCAGCAATGCTCTTGGTGGGTGGTGCAAGCCAGAGCTGTTTGTAAAGTGTTGAAGAAGATGTTTTCCAAGAGACTTGTGTTTTAAAGAAGAATCTGAAAAAGAACACACAATAGGCACCACAAAAATTAACCAGCAGTTCCAAGGAAGCCAATGAAAGTCATTCTCAGAAGTGTGTGGATTCCGTAGTTTATACCCACTCTGCCATAGATTATGTACTTTTTAAGAACGTTGATATAAGCCAAGAAACAGATCAGGAGAAGAACCTGTAAGCACAGACAATATATATATTGCAAATAATAATTTAAAAATTACCATTTGAAGGGGAAAATAAATAATTATTTTGGGTGCAATAAGGAACTTCTGTAAAGTTCAGACCAATAAATTCTAAAATAAAAATGCATCCAGTCCAATTAGCTGTCTATGCTCTGTTGAAACGAAACCCACTGCACATGAAAAAAATCCACCCTGAAGACCTCCTGATGGTGCAGCCAGCCACATTATGAACATATCCCAGTCATACCAGATCAGAGTCAGACTGGAAGATTCACCAGCATGAGGCTGCAGTTGGTCTCTGTACACAGATGAGACAACCAGCACAGAAGTCTATGAGATAGAGATGGCTGTGCTCTGACCTGAAGCACTGAAGTGGCCTCAGCAGCCTATGTAAGCTTGGAAATAAATGTGGATATGTGCTATTTGTGAGGGCTGAATGTGGAATTAATGAGAGGGGAAAGTGCCTGGAAGAGAATTTTACCGAGCAGAGGAAAAGTCTAATATCCCTACAAAGTTATGTGCCACTGGCATCCTGCTTAGCAGGGTGTCGTATGTTCCTTCCTCTGGGCATGTATCTGATCAGTCTTATATAAGGCTGTGGTGAGTAACAAAGGTCAACAGGTCAAGAAAATGCTGATCATTATGTATTGGGAAGTTTTCTCCTCTACCCTCTGAAACCATACCTGAGACTTTTCTGTAGCCAAGTGGAGGAAATAAGAAAGAAAAAATCAAGTTGGAATAGAGTCAATGGGTCCAATGTTGTGACAAATAAAACTGCAATTGCAGCAACATTTAGGTAAATTAAAGAGATGTTGAAGAGTCAGAAATACAAATTAAGAAATCAGATAGGCACAGTAGCAATTCTAGCAGCACTGAAGAAGCAAAAGGAGCATGGGAAGAAGTATTAACATATGGTGATAAAAAGGAATAGTCTTAGAAATAAGGATTGAAGAATGAAGAGACAAACTATATTTCAGAACTCTGGTACAAGCTGATGTATCCCTTGGAAAGAAGACAAAGTGCTAAAATAAAACATAAATTAAAGACAAAACGTGTCAGTGGGACTTGGGAATGTAGGTTCTGTGACTCCAATAAAACCAACAGTAGGCTCCATTCTCTTCTAACAGCTTCTGCTGTGAAACTAGAATAGCTCTACTTGATACAGCCAAGCCCAGCTGCTGAAAGATTTGAACAAGCTTATAAACTCAGTGTCATTATTTCACACATGTAATATTGAAAATCAAATGCTATTACCAGCACCAAAGAGTTAGCAAAGACAGAAAGCAAGTTACAAACCATGAAGATAAATATGACATTCATCCCTTCAGAAAAAGTTGAGGTGCCTCTTGGAACCACAACACACATCAGGACTAACAGTTCAAGCTGACAATTTCCCTGTGGGACAAAATAAGAACATACAGTCAATAGACCTTGTAAGTTGGGTAACTGATTACTAGTGACAAACTCTGTATATGGACAGTAATCATTGTCATTGATGAAATTGTTGCTTTGTTTTGTTTTTTAACAGCTACTTGGTTAGTAACAATAATGCTAGCAGAAATATTTTATAAATGTAGTGCAATACTAGACTCAAGTAAAACTACCAAAACAAAAAAATCCAGATATTTTTGCTAAACCTGATTTTCACTGATAAAATGAAGACATACTGCCAACTAATATTTACCGATTATTTCTTGCTTCTATAATCAATAGAACTGAATAAGTGTATATGTGTATATGTATGTATGTATGCATATTTACATACTTTCAAATTCTGATATAGTTCCTCAGAGTTTATCAAGAGTATCCCTGTATATACCTCTTAAACTAATTTCTCTGTACCTTTCAGTATTAACTCTTGATTCCAAAACAACCTCCCTCCCCCCCAAAAAAGGCATTAGAAAGTTGATGGAAAGAATGTACAAGAAAGAATATACTCAGACAAGTGTTCATATAGATCATTTGATATATCATTAAATATAGAAAGATCTATCTGCGAAATAGGATACAATCTCTTAGTTTAATGACAGTAACCATCACTGAAAGGTTTTATCAACAGAAGTAGAAAATTTATTTTCCCTTGGATCTTGTAAATCAAGAAGTAGATCTCTGCTAAAGACTGCTCTGGTGCAACCATGAACAACTTCTATTGTTCGTTCACAGAAGAGAAAAACCTAATGCCTCCCAATACACAAACCATGTTGTGAAAGACTGGATATTTTTAAATTATTGGCATGTGCATGCAGAAGATCAAGAGTATTCTGTTGCTCATGTAAGAATAAATCAGTGACCAATCATGCTGTCACCTTTGTCATCTTTCCAAGCTTTCCATTTGCCTGTGGTCGTCTCCCATTCGAAAATGCAATACCAGTGAAAATGCAATGCTAACAAAAATAGAATCAGATCTTGGTATGCACTAAGAGGTCTTAAACAGTGTACTTTGTCCAAGGGATAATGGATTTATATTTGAAAAGCACTCAAAGGTCACATACAGAAGAATGGATCTTACCTCATTTGAGTCATCTAAGGCTTAGGCAACAGCTCTAAGTAATTCTGCATTCCTCATACTGTCAACAGAGAGAGGGGCCCTCCCAAGGAAGATTCCCCAATTCTAAAACTATGGCTTTAGAGTTCCTCTCATCCACCTTGGTGGAGGAAGGGACATCCCCTTTGGTAATTTCCCATGTTCTCATCAAGCGTAGCTGACAGTGGAAATATATAGTACCAGAGAGATGTCTAAGGGGGGATGTGAACTGAAAGAGGCACAACTGTATGACTATGACATGAATTCTAGAATAACTATGCCTAATAAAGGGTAGAACCAAACAACACCATCACAGCACCGTGCTGAAGCTTGCAAGCTTTGTGCTAATATTTCCACAGAGTGCTGCCCTGTGTCCTGTAAACACATCTGCTGGGTATCCATGGCACATTGCTGCATGGAGCAGTATGAACAAACTCAAAATTCTGTTGAAAGCTGCCAGTATTTTGGGGTGGCTGAGACAGTTTTTTTTTTATGTTCAACTGGATGCCGAGTGCGTTTCAGATGATGGTCTTAAAGGGAATGATATTAAACTGAGACAGGGGAGGTTTAGGATATTAGGAGGAAGTTTTTTCACACAAAACGTGGTGACACACTGGAACAGGTTGCCCAAGGAGGTTGTGGATGAACAACCATCCCTGGAGGCATTCAAGGCCAGGCTGGATGTGGCTCTGGACAGCCTGGTCTGGTAGTTAATGACCCTGCACATAGCAGGGGGGTTGAATCTAGATGATCATTGTCCTTTTCAATGTGGGCCATTCTATGATTCTATGATCCTTAAGTTTCAGTAAGATAAATCCGACTGTGCAAAAGAGGTCAACAACTTACCTTGTATCTCCACATCAGGAGTGATACTTAGCAAGACAAGGAACACTTCCTCACTGCTGCATATCTCTGGGCAGCTAAATACGCAAGTGGCCAAACTCACTCATTGTAAAACCCAATGGACTTCATTCAAAAAGCTCCTATAAAGATGACTGATGTCATTGGTGTCCCACTGGGGGTGATTTTGGCCCATGCCATTCCTCCTGTTTAATCATTGGATAGGAATGTAGGGAAGAAATGTGTGCTGGGCTGTAGGACTGCATCGCTCAACAAATCTGCCAGGACTGAAAAGGAGTTACACATGAATATAAACTTGTCTTGCACGCTCTATTACCTCTCCCATATCAGCCACTACTTTTCGCTGCCCAGGTATGAAATGCCATAGCTCCTTCTGCTTCAGTAGGATTGAGAAAGAGTTTATTCAAGAACGTGTCAGGCCATGTGGGAGCAAAGGAAGCGACATTATCCCCATTTTGCAGATGACAAAACCAAAAAAAACAGGGAGCTGATGTGATTTGCTTCATCTCACAGGTGGTGACAGAGGTAGAAGAGGTATTGAAACTCAAGCACTTTCAGCTCCTGGCCACTTAGGCCTCATATTCCTGTGATATATCTTTGTAATTTCCCTCTCCCCATCTTCCTTCTCCCCTGCCACAACCCCATCAGCATTTTCTGTTGCCACACAACTGGGAAGCTGGGATTAATCCATCCCCAGAGAAATGGGATTAATATACAACTCATGTGGAACCTTTAAAAACCCAATGATTTGTGGTTCCCTTCTCAGACACATATGTATTCCACAGCTGAAAAGTCAGTGTTCAGTGTTCCAGTACACTTTCTGAAAGAGGCTTTTGCTCTCTTCCATGAATGTACACTGTGAAGACCCCATTTGACATAGTTTCTTCCTGAATCCAAAAGAAAACCAGGCTGAGCAGGCTGTGTAGAATCAGGCCCTTGCAGAGAACAGTTTATGGGCAGAAAAAGAATGACTGGAATGCAAAGAAAAAAAAAAAGGGGGGGGG